GTGGTAAAAGGACCAGTCAGCAGAGTCCACTGGGAAACCAAGGAAGACACATGGGACGGCGCGTGCCGAGAGCTTGTCCGCGGAGGTGTCCCGAACAAGTGCAAGGCAGCCCCAGACTCGAAAGGCCGACCCAACACCAGGGGATCCAGTCCAAAGACTGGTCGGTGAAGCCTCGGGCCGCGAGACACGCGGCTGGAGGTTCAGCTGGTGTGCGGCGTAGCGAACCGCGTGGGGCCACAGAAAATGGGGCGCACGGGCATGAATCATGGACGTGCGGGCGATGTCCATGACCAAGCCTATGCGGCGCTCAGCAACCCCATTCTGCTGTGGGGACTCTGGCAGCGTCCAGGACTGGGTGATGCCCTGTTCGCCGCAGAATCCGCCGAGAATGCCGGAGCGAAACTCGCCCCCACGGTCGGAGTGAAGACAACTGACTCGACGACCACGAGTGCCCTCAGTGGCTAGAAGCCACCTGATCAGCGTAGCAGTCACCTCGGACTTCTTCGCAAGAGGGAACACTGTGGTGTACCTGGAGAAGTCGTCGACGACCACCAGAAAGTAACGCTCCCTCCCAGACCCCTGCGTCGGGGCAGGGCCCCAGACGTCCAAGTGGAGAGTCTCGAAGGGAGCGGTGGCCGGACGAAGGGAGGAGGAGTGGGGAGTGGCGCGTAAGCGACCGGCGACGCACGGAGAGCAAGGAGGGGCAAGCGAGAGAGGGAGCGACGGGAAGGTGCGTGGGAGACCTGTGACTAGTCCCTGACTGAGCATGCCACGAAGGCGAGGGATCGACGGGTGGCCAAGACGGTGGTGCCACAGGACGGTGCGGTGGGCGAGAGAGCGACAGGAGCAAGACGCAGCGACTGGACTGGACACAGCGACCGGACTGGACACGACTACCTGGCTAGACACAGCAACTGGACTGGGGACCTGAGCCGGAGGGGACGCAACAACCTGAGGGGAGGACGCGACCGGGGAGCGCTCGGTGTGGAGAACGTAGAGACCGGAGCGGGGCTCCCTGGTGAACGTGGCCAGAACAGCACCTGTGGTAGCGTCAGTACAGACTGCAGTCCGCCCCCCCCCCACAAAGGTAACGGTGATCCCCCTGTCCTGGAGGTATCCAACACCCACCAAGTTCCGAGTGAACGAGGGGATGTGGAGGCCGCGCAAGACACCAGAGGGGACCACAGGGCACGGGAGGGTGGTGGAGCTGCGCGCAACGGCTGGTCCTGAAGAAGGATCAGCCAAAGCTACCGGAACCGGAGCAAGAAGTGGTGTGAGGGTCGTGTGGTCGCGGAAGAAACACTGCGACGCGCCAGAGTCCAGCGTGAACGACAGAGACGCCTCAGCCGGAGGCGTGTCAGGTCCGGAGGCTACACAAGCACCTAGAGCAGAAACACAAGCACCTAGACTAGAGAGGCACAGGTCTACACTAACAGGAGGCAAGCATCCTAGACTACGAACACGCGAGCACACAAATCCATCAGCACTATAGTCAACATCAGCATACAAAGCATACTGACGAGCATCGTCCATAGACAGTTCAAATACAGGAATCTTACGGGCTAGCAGGCGAGCCCAGCGCGGGGTGGTCGCCTCAGGACCCCAGCGTGCACGGTAGAGGTCGTCGAGGCGGCGGAAGCACCGCGCTGCAGAGTGGTCGTCGCGGCCGCAGACACAGGGACTGCCAGGTCCGGTGACGCACCAGTGGTCGCAGGGGCCGGTGTCGCGCCGCGGGGGGCGAGGGGCCCAGCTGGTAGTGCTGCTGCTGCGGCCAGTGCTCCCGGGTCCTCCAGGTCCCCACTGTGGCGGAGGGCCCCAGTGCTGCTGCGGACCCCACTGCAGTGGGGGTCCCCACGTCTGAAACTGCTGTGGTGCCTGCCACTGCTGCTGTCCCTGGTGCAGCTGCTGTCTCTGCTGTGGCTGCTGCTGCTGTGGCTGCTGCTGCTGGGGCCCCGCACCACCGCTGGTCGAACCTCCTCCAGCAGGTGGGTCAGCACCTCCTCCAGAGCTCCCTCCGCCTGGGGCAACACCGCCACCACTGCCGCCCCCAGGGCCGCCTCCACCACCGCCACCTCCTCCACCGCCGCCACCCCCCTTCCCCCCTTTCTTGCCCCCCTTGCCCCGTTTCTGCCTGTCAGCGGCAGAAACAGCTGCAGTGTCCTCAGAAACCGACACAGCAGCAGAGGCACGTGTAGCATTGAAGGTAGGAAGCTGGGGGACAGCACACCCCTCAAACAAACGAGGGGCAACTGCGTCAGTGGCTGAGGCAACAGAGAGGAGGTTACTCTCGATCTTCCCGAGAGTGGTCTCGAGAAGATCAATCGTAAGCTCACTGGGGTGATGCTGGAGAAGTGCGTCACGGGCAGTGGAGAGGCGGTCAGGGAGACGAGTGACTACCCAGTGGACTGTGAGCCAAATAGGAGGAGGAGCAACAAGAAGCTGAGCCTCAGTGCAAGCTGCTCGGTAGCTAGCGACAAGGGAGCGCAAGTGTGTGGCTAGGTCAGAGACAGTCGCAAAAGAGCCGAGGTCGGGAAACACGAACGGCATGAGGATGCGGCTGAGGGAGGCAGAGGAAGGGGTGGAATAGCGTGCAGAAATAGCATCATACACCTCCTTCGCAGTCTCTATCAGGTCGAAGTGAGCGGCCTCAGTCGGTGGAAGGAGCTCGGTCAGCGCGAGTGCAGCCGCAGCGTCACGGGAGTCCCAAACGTCCCGCGCCAAGACGAGACGAGCGTAGTCCGCCTGTGCCTCCGGAGTCGGGGGGGGCACGGCAGGGAGGGGCTCGGGACGCGGTGGTGCCTGGAGGGCGCCGGACGCGTGGGCGTACAGGGTGGCGCCGTCCTGGCGCTGACTGGTGAGATAGCGCTGAGTCTGGCGGAGCCAGGTGCCGAACTCTATCGGGCGCCCCTCTGCATCGAAACGAAGGCGGCGGGAGGAGTCCATATTGGACGCTAGGCTAGGAACAGCTGGAGCACGGAGCAAACGGAGCTAGGAGCGAGGAGCGCCAGGTGGGACTAGGCGAGGTACTGCTGGAGCACGGAGGAAAACTGAGCTAGGAACGCCAGTCTAGTAACGAACGGAGCTGGGAGTTAGCTGACCTAGGAGCACACGGCTGGAGGAGGCAGGGCTGACGAGCCGATCGAGGAGCCAGAGGGTCGTTCGAGGGGCTGGCGGAGCGAGGAGAGACCTAGCTAACAACGAACGTCAGGACTAGCCTAAACAGCTAAGCGGAGCGGCCTCCAGCCGCGACGGTGCGAAACACTGTGAGTATGAGTGACGCGAGTGTCGAACCAACGGAGGTCGGGTGGTCCTGGGTGGTGTGCGCGCGTGATAAGGGGATGTGAGCGTTTGGAAGGGGCTCTGAGCGGTTGGAAGGGGCTGTGAGCGGTTGGAAGGGGCTGTGAGCGGTTGGAACGGGCTGTGAGCGGTTGGAAGGGGCTGTGAGCGGTTGGAAGGGGCTGTGAGCGGTTGAAAGGGGCTGTGGGCGGGTGGGAGGGGCTAGCTGGCGCCAGCTGCTGGCGGCTAGGTTCCGGTGGCTAGCTGCTGCTGGCGGCTAGCTTCTGCCTAGCCGTGCTGCTGCTGCAGGAGCACGCGCTGCTGCCTAGCCGTGCTGCTGCTGCAATGCACACGTTGCTGCCTAGCCGTGCTGCTGCTGCAATGCACGCGCTGCTGCCTAGCCGTGCTGCTGCTGCAATGCACGCGCTGCTGCCTAGCCGTGCTGCTGCAGCAAAGCACGCGCTGCTGCTGCAATGCGCGTGCTGCAGTGGCGTGCGCGGCTGCCGCTGGCTAACGCGCGCGCTGCTGCGGGCTAAGAACGACTACGCGGGCCCGCGGGGGGGGGGGGGGAGAGTCCCTTCTGGAGCGCGACGAAACGAGGGGCCAGTGGGGCCCTGTAAACGCGACGAAAAACGAGGCCCGCGGGGGCCCTTAAACGCGACGAAAACGAGGCCCGCGGGGGCCCTTAAACGCGACGAAAACGAGGCCCGCGGGGGCCGTCCTACCCGCGACGAAACGGGGCCTAAGGGACGGGCGCCTCGGGACCGGCTAAGGGAGGGAGCGGAAGCGTGGGAGGGAGTAAAAAACCTACTCTAATACCATCTTAAGATAGGCTAGGAGACAAGTGTCGAGAGTAATGTTTGAGTAAGGAGGGACAAGGAGATACAAATGTCGACCTAAAGTGTTGTACCCTTTAGAGGGCAACTCACAGTAGCCTATCTAACAATATATAGAATATATAAACATTTGACATGGCGAGTGGGCATTTTTGCAAGATGCCTTTTGCATATTCGGATTTTGGCTGACGGGGAAATTGCGGCGAAAAAATTCGCCACGTGAAATATTTCCCGCCACCCTGGTGCCACGCGAGCAGCAGCCACAGTTCACTGCAACAGAAACCTGTTTCTGGACATCCGTTTCCAAAAAAAATGCCGAACACGAAATGGACATGTCAACGGAGGAGCCACATGGAGCCGCAAATGCAGCGAGATGGAGGTTCACAATATTCGGAAGTTTATTTTTTTTTACACAGCACGTGTTTGCCACATACCAGGCCACCATCAATAAGCAAGACAGGGGAGTAGCAAGGCGTGAGGTTATTGCTAGCTCATTATTACCAGCTTCCCTACGAGTAGTGGTACTCCACAATGGTCCATGACTTGCCGAGAGAAATGATGAGGCTTGGAGAAGACCAAATGATGGTGAGACTGCATGTGGATTAGTAACAGGATATTCAGTGTTATGGTAACATCTCATGTAATGTCGCTACTTGTTCCATGGCATGCGCAATGTACTTTCGAAAGCCATATATCGAAACATGATCAGCGAGCTAACAGAAAAGTCTACTAGGCAACCTTACAACCCATTCTCGACGCGGGACGGAGGCACATGCATGTTGTTAAGTTATTTTATATATGGTCAGGGAAAGAGAGGAAGGGGATGAACGATTGCCTGCAATACAGTTGGGGAGCTGCTAGCCATCCAACCAGCCTCAGCCGCTGAAATTAAACAGAGAACTTCCACTCCTTCTCCAGCAACAATGCTGGGCGCCTCCCACCATGCTTGCAGTGGAAGACGGCAGTGACCTGCAAGCATCAAGGGGACAAATCGGTTAGAAATAATCAGGACAACATCAACATCACTGGCGATCTTGTATGGCCGCTTACCTTGAAAGGACCACCTTCATCGGTGTGCTTGTGGTACTCGACTTCAGCCCGCTCCCTGTGGTGCCAGTATGACACCTCCAGGTGATCCCGTTTCAACTTCTGCTTGATCTGAAATCCCAAGGCCCATTTCCCCTCGCCGAAGTCGTACAGTGGCTTAAAGATGGTGTCCTTGTACCTGTGCTCCAATCGCACCAAAGGACCATTCTTGGCAAAATTGTGCTTCACAACCGCCTTAGTGTCATCGGTCAGTGCGGTGTTTGCCTCCAGCGTCGTCACACCAGGGCCGTGGTGGTGGACGAAGGTAAGATGCACGAACTTATCGGCCACTTTCGTGTGCCCGTGGAATTGGAACCTTGTGGACTGCAGAGCGAGGAGTAGGGAAAGAAGGATTTTAGCTCATACCCTGACATCAAAAGCTGAAAGGACACTCTTTTATGGGCTGCATGGGTTCAAGCCTACCTTCTTGTGGAAATGATGCTCCAAAATGAAATGACCAGGCTTTTCCACGGCGACTTCTGTATCCTCCTTGATACTTCCAACATCCCTCAAGGTCTTGTCCGTCAATGAAAGCTTCAGCTTCAAATCTTCCAGCCAAACGCCTACAGTGGCCTGAAACTTTTCAGTCTCAGAATTATACTTCGACTTGAGAGTGAGCTTCGTCATGGCGGAAACCAAGGAACACGACTACTAGGCAGCTGGATGAATGGACAGGAATGTGGAAGTCAACAGGGATGAAAATGCTTCAGAATGGGCGCTTCTGAGGGAAATTTGGCATTTTGACGTCGTGGAGTGGCACAGCATGTTGTGCTTGGAGGGGAAAGTCCTTGCCAGACCTGCCCGTTAACATGGGAGTTACCGACGTAAGTTATTTTTATCGAAGAGTTCATTTTGAAAATGCACAGCAGGAAAGTCAAAACTTTGTAAAGTGACTTGCTGTAAATCTGATGGTGCCACACTTTCACAAGTTCGGGGTCAGATCTAACCATAGCAAACGGTAACCAGACAGGCACGCATGACGTGGATCCTGGAGTGTCAGCATGATGGGCATGACCTGGAAACTGGTTCCACTCCACGTGGAAGCATTAGTTTCCTTCACAGAGCCTCGTCAGAGCTGACGTGCTGATGAGGCCACAATCCACTCCAGCCAATCTCAAGGCCCAACAGTAATTTTTGTGATTCTCTCCGCTGCATCTCTGTACTTTTTGCAAACAGACTCGGTATTGTAGTAAGAGTGCCAGCATGTACCTTCCATATGCGATTACTACCTTGTTTGGGCAAATTACGTGAAAATATTATATTTGAAGGGTTTAGGACCGTGGAGGTTTTCACCAGAAGGGTTTGTGCCTCCAAACATAGCTCTTCATTTTCCGTGTCCAACTGTTCTCCATTGTCACCGCGTTTTACGTCAGCAAACCTCGTTTCCGCACTTATGGCGCGGAAGAAAGGCGCCAAGCGCGGGGACGATAACGAGGACGAGGCATCTGCAGAAGCCCCGGCCGTAGAGCAGGAAACCAAGAAGGGCGGTAAGGCCGCCCGGAAGAACCGCAAAGGGAGGGCCGGAGACGATGACGACTACGAGCCTCCGCCCGATGACGTGGATGATGAACCAGTCTCGTCAGTCAAAAGCAAGGGTAAGGGCAAGAGTGGTGCGTCCGGGTTCGCTGCGCTGATGGACGCAGAGAATGGCGGGACGGCGGAGGATGCGGAGGAGGACGAGGAGGAGGAGGAGGAGAGGGCGAGGGGTGGGCGAGGCAACGGAGGGAAGAAAGCAGGACAGGACGAGGACGACGAGGAGGAGGCGCGGGGAGGCGGGGGCGGGGGAGGGAAGAAGGGCGGAAAGAAGGGCAAGAAAGGCAAGAATCGTCGCGACGACTTCGACGACGATTTCGCAGACCCCGTTGCGGACGCAGCGGCGGAAGAGAACGGCAAACCCGTCGCCGCTAAACCCGAGGAGGGGGACAGCGATGGGACAGTTGGGCCGGGGTATTTGGTGGTGGGGGAGATCAAATCGGCGCGCAAGGTGAAGAAGGCCGACAAGCTCAAGGCGTGCCTCGTCGACATCGGCGGCGCGTCGCCCATTCCGATCGTGTGCGGCGGGACCAACGTGCGCGCGGGGCTGCGCGTGATCGTGTGCCCCGCGGGGTGCGCCGTGCCGTCGACGGGCGCGGCGGTGAAGAAGGCGAGCATCAAGGGCGAGGAGAGCCTCGGGATGATCTGCTCGCGCGCCGAAATGGGGTGGGCGGACGCCGCCACCGAGGTGGTCGAGCTGGACGCGGGCGCGTTCAACGTGGGGGATCGGGCGCCGCTGGAAGATCTCAATGTAGGTGCTGGTGACGTGGCCGAGGAGGCGGATGACGTGGCAATGGCGTTCACGGGGAAGAAGAAGGGGAAGAAGGGGAAGGGGGGGAAGGGGAAGAAAGTGGAGGAGGAAGAGGAGGAGGAGGAGTCAGTGGTGACGAGCATTCCGCGCGACGAGGAGGAGGCGGAGGAGGATTCGATGGCTATGGCGTTCGCGGGTAAGAAGAAGAACAAGAAGAAGGATAAGAAGGGACGGAAGCAGCAGCAGGAGGAGGACGACGACGAGGAGGAGGAGGCGAGGGAAGAAGTGGCGGTGGAGGAGGAGGAAGAGGAGGAGGTGGTGTCGAGTAAGAAGGCGAGTTCCGCTCTGCAGCTGCTGGCGGCGCTGGGCGACGAGGGGGGTGAGGAGGACGAGGAGGAGAAGGAGGAGGAGGAGGAGAAGGAGAAGGAGGAGGAGGAGGATGAGATGGCTGTGGCGTTCAGCGGTAAGAAGAAGGCGAAGAAGGGCAAGAAGAAAATGACCTCCGCGCAGCTCGACGCGCTCATGGCGGAGGCCGACGGCGACGCGGCGGAGGCGGGGGCGCAGGAGGCGGAGGAGGCGGAGGAGCGCAAGGAGGAGGAAGGGGGGAAGGGGAAGAAGGGGGGGAAGGCGGCGGCGGGGGAGGACGACATTGACGCGCTGCTCAAGGAGCTCGAGGCGCCCAAGGCGGGGGGCGGGGGGGGCAAGAAGAAGAAGAAGGAGAAGGAGGGGAAGAAGAAGAGTGGGCGCACGGCGGAGGAGGAGGCGGAGCTCGACCGCATCCTCGCGGAGCTCGACGCGCCCGCAGCCCCGCCCGCGGGAGGGCAGGCGCCCGCCGCCGATGGGAAGGCGGACAGCGCTGCTGCTGAGGCGGAGGCGGGCAAGGCAGACGCCGCCGCTGCTGGTGATGCTGCTGCGGAGGGGGAGGGGGAGGAGGAGGAGGCAGGGGGGGGCGGTGGAGGGGCGGAGTCAGCTGCAGCGAAGAAGAAGAAGAAAAAGAAGGAGAAGGAGAAGGCCGCCAAGGCCGCCGCGGCAGCCGCCGCCGCTGCTGCTGCTGCAGGCGCGAAGGAGGAGGAGGCGGCGGCGGAGGGCGCGGGGAAGGCGGTTGACCTGAAGAAGCTGCCGAAGCACGTGCGCGAGATGCAGGAGCGGCTGGCGCGGCTGAAAGAGGCGGAGGAGAAGCGCAAGCGCGAGGAGGAGGAGCGCGAGCGCAAGGAGAGGGAAGAGGAGGAGCGACTGGCTGAGCTGGAGAGGCAACGCGAGGAGGCGAAGCAGCGGCGCAAGCAGAAGGAGAAGGAGAAGAAGGAGCAGCTTAAGAAGGAGGGCAAGCTGCTGACGGGCAGGCAGAAGGAGGAGGCGAAGCGGCTGGCCGCCATGCGCGAACAGCTGCTCGCGCGCACTGGGGGCGCCGAGGGCGACGAGGGCGCTGGGGCGGGCGCGGGGAAGAAGCGCGGCGGCGTGTTTGACCGGCGGAAGAAGGGGAAGCAGCAGCAGCAGAAGCAGGAGGCGGGTGGGAAGGAGGAGGGGAAGGAGGACGCGGAGGAGGGTGGCGAGGAGGAGGCGAAGGTGGAGGAGGGTGCGGATGGGAGTGTGGTGGAAGGTGTTAGTGAGGCTGTCGAGAAAGTGGAGGAAGCAGCAAATGAAGAAGAGAAGGAGGAGAAAGAAGAGGAGAAGAAGGCGGAGGTGAAGGAAGAGAAGAAGGAGGTGAAGGAGGAAGAGGAAGAGGAAGAGGAGGAGGAGGACTGGGATGCAAAGAGCTGGGATGCGGAGGCAGTGAAGATACCCAAGCTTAAGGGCGCGTTCGATGAGGAGGAAGAGGAGGAGGAGGAGCAGCAGGTTAGTGCTGCTGCTGCTGCTGCTAAACCTGCTGCCAAGGCCAAGCCGGCAGACGGGGCTTCCAAGAAGGCTGCTGCTGCTTCCAAGGCGAAGGGTAAAGCGGCAGGCGGCAAGGGGAAAGTGGAGGAGGAGAGTGAGGATGAGGAGGATAGCGAGGAGGAGGACGATGATGATGATGAGGAGAGTGACGAGGAGGAAGGCGAGGAGGCGCGGAGGATGGAGGCGAGGGAGCGGCGGGAGCAGCGGAAGCAGGAGGCGATGAAGGCACGCAGCGCGGAGGACCTGCGGTCGCCCATCTGCTGCATCCTGGGGCACGTGGACACGGGCAAGACGAAGCTGCTGGACTGCATCCGGCGCACCAACGTGCAGGAGGGCGAGGCGGGCGGCATCACGCAGCAGATCGGCGCCACCTACTTCCCCATGGCCAACATCCGCGAGCGCACGCGCGAGCTCAAGGCCGACGCCAATCTGCGCGTGCCGGGGCTGCTGGTCATCGACACGCCCGGCCACGAGTCGTTCACCAACCTGCGTGCGCGCGGGTCCGGGCTTTGTGACATTGCGATCCTGGTGGTGGACCTGATGCACGGGCTGGAGCCGCAGACCATCGAGTCGCTCAACCTGCTCAAGATGAGGAAGACGCCCTTCGTCGTTGCCATGAACAAGGTGCGCGTGAGGGGGGGATGGGAGGGATGTGGGGTGGATGGGTTGGCAGACCCGTGCTGCCATGTGACGTGCTGTTTCAGAGCCTGCTTGTGTGTCTGTGCATGCCATGCCATGCTATGGCCTCAGGCCTTATGATGGGTCTCGTGCCGTAACATAACATCCCCTGCGCATTATGCCATGCACATCTTATCCACCCCCGTGCGCCAGGTGGACCGCATATACGGGTGGAACGCGACGCCCAATGCGCCCATCCGCGCGGCGCTGAAGAAGCAGACGAGAGACGCCATCCTCGAGTTCGACCGCCGCACCGACCAGGTGCGTGCCTGAGAGGGAGGCAGGGGGGCAGGGGAGGAGGGGGGGGGCAGAGGGGGTGGGGTGCAGTGGGGACAGGGGGCAGGGGGGTGGGGTTGGCGGGGAGTGCATGCATGGGCAGAGGGATGGAGCAGAATGCTATGAGGGGTTGTTCCTCGCTCGCTGCTGACACTCGCCTCCAATCTGCCGTCTCCTCATTCATTGCAACCCCTCGTGTCTTCCCTCCTCCCCGCCATCGTGTGTGTGCGCGGCTGGCAGGTGATGCTCGAGCTGAAGGAGCAGGGGCTGAACGCGGCGCTCTACTACAAGAACCCCGACATCCGCAAGTTCATCTCCATCGTCCCCACCTCCGCCATCAGGCACGCTCTCCTCACGCCCCCGCCCTCATACACCCCTAGTAGCCACCAAAACACACACCGGCGCTCACTCTGCCACCCACTTTCTCCCGGGCCCCACTCTTAATAGCCGCTCCCCCATGCCACATTCCCCTTCCATCAACCGCCCACTCTCTCATGCCCCCTCCCCCCCCACCTCCCCTCCCGGCAGTGGCGAGGGCGTGCCGGACCTGCTGCTGCTGCTGGTGCAGCTGACGCAGAAGCTGATGGAGGAGCAGCTCATGTACGTGGCGAGCGTGCAGTGCACGGTGCTGGAGGTGAAGGTCATCGAGGGCCTCGGCACCACCATCGACGTCGTGCTCGTCAACGGCGTGCTGCACGAAGGGGACCAGATCGTCGTGTGCGGCCTGCAGGTGAGGGGTGGCTGCCGGTGGGTGAGGGAGAGTGGGCGCTGTGGGTGGGTGAAGGTCATGGAGGGGCGTCCATGGTGCCGTGCTGCATGAGGGCGACCAGATCGTTCTGTGCGGCCTGCAGATGCGGGGGAGGAGGGTGAGAGGGCGTTGACAAGGCATATGGCTCTTGTGCTCTGGTTGGACCTTGTGCCTTGGCGTGAGGCAAAGAGGGGAAAGGCCACAAGGCAGGCAGAAGGAGGGAAGTGCCCGTGTCTGGTCTGTATATGGTCTGGTTCTTTCTACATGTGATGATAGTTCACCTTCCACTGTGTGCAAGCGTGTGTTGCGGTGTGCGTGCCCGTGTCATTGTGCTGCAGGGTCCCATAGTGACAACCATCAGAGCGCTGCTGACGCCACACCCCATGAAGGAGCTGCGAGTCAAGGTCAGTCACCCTTTTCGTCCAGTCTGTGCCTTCACCTCCATATCATCGCTCCCTCCATCTTGCTCTTGCTCCTTCCCCGGTAGATGTGGCAGGCCCATCTCCCTTCTGCTGCTTGCTCCACCTGTTTGCCTACACTGCTTCCTTGCACCACACACATTCCTGCTCCATGCTGAATTTCTCCTCAACTCCAACCCGTTCCTCCCGTTCATTCTCTCCTTGTCGCTCCTCCTCGCTCTATAACTCTCTCTCCGCCTTCCTCCCCCATCCAGGGCTCGTACATGCACCACAAGGAGCTGCGGGCAGCGCAGGGCATCAAGATCACGGCGCAGGGGCTGGAGCACGCCGTGGCGGGCACGCAGCTGTACGTGGTGGGACCAGACGACGACGTGGACGAGCTGAGAGAGGAGGCCATGTCGGACGTCAAGGGCGTGCTGTCTCGCGTCGACAAGAGCGGCGAGGGCGTGAGCGTGCAGGCGAGCACGCTGGGGTCGCTGGAGGCGCTGCTGGAGTTCCTCAAGAGCCCTGCCGTGAAGATCCCCGTGTCTGGCATTGCCATTGGGCCGGTGCACAAGAAGGACGTGATGAGAGCGAGTGTGATGCTGGAGAGGAAGAAGAAGGAGTATGCCGTCATCCTCGCCTTCGACGTCAAGGTGCGTCATCCTCGCCTTCGACGTCAAGGTGCGTCATCCTCGCCTTCGACGTCAAGGTGCGTCATCCTCGCCTTCGACGTCAAGGTGCGTCATCCTCGCCTTCGACGTCAAGGTGCGTCATCCTCGCCTTCGACGTCAAGGTGCGTCATCCTCGCCTTCGACGTCAAGGTGCGCGCGCTGCCCTGCACACAGCAAGCGCCACCGCTGACGTTCATTGGCCTTACTGCCTTCCCCGCTGTTACTTACAGTCCTTTCATGCCACCTTGCTCTCTTGATCCAATTTCCCTTCTCTTACCCTGGCTGCACGTGTGGTTGGCAGGTATCAACGGAGGCGAGGGAGATGGCGGAGGAGCTGGGAGTGCGCATATTCACAGCAGACATCATCTACCACCTGTTCGACCAGTTCACCGCTTACATGGCGGGCGTCAAGGACGAGAAGCGCGCGGAGGCGGCGGAGGAGGCGGTGTTCCCGGTGGTGCTCAAGATCATGCCCAATTGCATCTTCAACAAGAAGGACCCCATCGTGCTTGGCGTTGAGGTGCTGGACGGCATTGCCAAGGTGAGGAGCGGTGCTGGACGGCATTGCCAAGGTGAGGAGCGGTGCTGGACGGCATTGCCAAGGTGAGGAGCGGTGCTGGACGGCATTGCCAAGGTGAGGAGCGGTGCTGGACGGCATTGCCAAGGTGAGGAGAGGTGCTGGACGGCATTGCCAAGGTGAGAGAAGGGAGGGAAGGGGGGGAGCGTGCGGGAGCGTGGGGGTCCATGAGGGAGTTGGGGTGCAAGCGGTGGGTAGTCATGAAAGAATGTGCTTGTCATGCTGGGGGGCAACATGCTGAAACACATCCCCCCCTTGTTTCCCGCTGTGGCAGGTGGGCACGCCCATATGTGTGCCGGGGCGGGAGTTCATAGACATAGGCAAGATAGCATCCATGGAGAAGGACCACAAGATGGTTGAAACCGCCAAGAAGGGCCAGGCCGTCGCCATGAAGGTAAGCCGCTCGCATGCACCTACCCTCACACCCTCCCGTGTCTGCTCTCTTGCATGCCTTCTCGATTGGCCTGCCCTCTTTCTCTCTCCCTCGCCCTTTGCACCATCTCTGCCCCTGCCTGTGTTGCCCTGCTTCACAGCGCTCCCCACTGTTGGCTTGCCCTCACCTGCCTGTGTGTGTGCACGTGTGGGCATGAGGGGGTCAGATCGTGGGGGTGAACGCGGAGGAGATTCAGAAGTCGTACGGGCGGCACTTTGACAGCGATGATGAGCTCGTCAGCCGCATCACGCGCAACTCCATCGACCTCCTCAAAGAAAACTACCGCGTATGCCCCCCCCGCTCCCCTCACCTCCACTGCCACTCTTCGCCTTTGCGACAATGTCCCTCCCACTCCACCTTGTTTTCTCTTGTCAGACCTGCTCAATTTTTGTCATCCTGCCTCCCCATCTATCATCTTCTGTTGCCTCATCTTCTGTTATTCGAATCTCTTCGCATTCTCTTGCCATCCTCTCTCCCCTCTGCCCCCCCGTGGCATGGACCAGGACGACTTGAGTCGAGAGGATTGGATCCTGGTGGTGAAGCTCAAGAAGCTCTTCGACATTCCCTAGGCAATGGCACGCGTCCTGCTGCAATGATTCTTCCCTTGGTGCACTAAGCCTGAAGAAGATAACTCTGGAAAAATGGTGTTAGATTGCAACCCTGTGTACACTCCCAACAGTCAATCCAAACATTTTTTCTGCAGAAACAATGGCTTGAAAACACGCTAGAATGCCCACACAAGCTGGTGATGACAAGAAACATCACGGAATGGAACGCTAACTCCAAATCCCGCTTGCATAAGTCACATGAGAAGATAGCATGAGAGCACTGAGCATGAACGCATGACCCCTTGCAATGAAATAAACAAACACCCGCACCGCATGGGAGCACATACGCACACACGGCATGCCATGAATGCAAATAGATGTGCACCCCTTGCAGGTGCAGGAGATTACGGTACTACGGTATGCCCGTTTGTGGTCACATCCCATATGCACTCCCCTCTCAGTTCCTCTGCTTGTTGGTCGCAATGCAACCATGGTTTATGTCATGTGAAAAAACAATAAATTCACTAAAACGTGTACAGCTAGTTAGAATTGTCTCTAGGATCCTAGTATATGCATAGTATGGTGTCGTTTTTCCCTAGCAGCATGCTGCACCGCGTGGTTGACAGCAGGAGGCAAACTAGGTTCCTCTTCTTCTCCATGCCGCCACGCCTCGGCTTATTCGCTGTTGAGTCGCTGCACGCCGCGCTCTTTAGGGCTTGAAGGCGGCCTGGGCGGATTCCGCCTTGGTTTGCGCAGACTTGAGCAGGCCGAGCGTGGCCTTATCGGTAGCGGGTTTGAGCATAACGGAGACCCCTTTGATGGTGGAGATGGCGTTGGTGATCTGCCCCGGTACCAGCGTGCGCTGCCCCTGGTCGATCAGAATGCCCGCATTGCGCAGCGCCTGCGCCGTGTAGGTCAAGCTCTTCTTGTAGGTCTTCACGGTCAACACGGCGTTCGCCTCGTCCACCAACTTCGCCGCCGCCGCCAGGTCCGCCTTCACGGCCGTGTCCGCCGCGCTCACCTTCTTCGGCGGCACCTTCGCGCCCACCGGGGGGACCTGGGGCGTCTTAGGGGACTTTCCGGACTTGGGGGCTGGCGAAGCGGGGGGAGAAGCGCCGACAGGCGTCTTTGGGGTCTTGGGGGACTTGGGGGACTTGGGGGTCTTGGGGGACTTGGTGGTGGTGGTGTCGGGGGACGGGGAGGGCGGGGGCGGCGGGGATGGCGTGGGCTCGGGGGAAGCAGGGGGCGACTTGGAGCTCTTAGCTTTCTTGGCCGCCTTCTCCGCTTCCTTCTTGGCCTTCTCCTCCTCCTTCTTCTTCTTCTTCGCCTCCTTCTTCGCCTTGTCCTCGTCGTCGTCGTCGTCCAACACGCGCCGCGTCGACGATGCTAACGACGACACAGACGCACCTGAGTCGGTTAAATCGCCTGGAGAAGGGAAAGGAGAGAAAACGTCATATGATTGCGATGATTTTGTGAAGAAAATGAGCTTTACTGCAGGGACCGTGGACAGGGAGGCGGAAAACGGTTATTATTTGGGAAAGGACTTTACCTGCATAGCTAACGACGTCAGAGGAGGAGAATCCCACGAGAGAAATGTCAGCAGAGACATTGACGAAGTGTGAAGTCACGAGGAGAGCGAGGAGCGGGAGCGCGCAGGCAAGGGCAAGAGTTCTTGAGATCGCCATTCCGGAGGCTAAAGGTAGTTGCTTTGAGTGATTTGAGTAAATGGATTTTGAGTGAGCGAGGGGCGAATTGAATGAATGTTGGATGAACGGGGTCAGATTTATGTGCTTCAGAAATGCCTTGATCGCATTTGGGTTGTTTCTGGCTGTTGTGTGCAGGCGCCATCCAAAAAAGTTGCGCGAAATCTTCGCAGCACCCTGGCGTCGCACGTCACGGCGGCCAACTTTGGCTGGGCGAAGGCGAAATGACGGGCGAGCTGGACAGGTGCTCCGGACGTGGCCAGCGGGATAAATTTCGCAAGGGGATGGCGAAATGGGATGCGGGGGAGATCAGCCCGTTTGCTTTTGTGGATGTTTCGCACAAAAAAGAAATCGGTGGTCAGCGCAGTCAACTGGAATACGCTTACCGCCAACTTCGTTTGAAACGAAATCTATGGACGCGGTTCTCTTGGAACGTTTGCGTGGGCAACGCAGATGGGGAACTTGACAGCAGCAAACGGTTCAATACAAACTTCCAGGGGGGTTACCTTCAGGCTGAATAAGATGAAGGCTATTTGGTGGAATAAATATAGCAGCCGACTATGTTTGTTTCTAACTAGCATGTGAACCTTCAGGTCTAAACTCCACTCAGTGTGCATGTCCATCATAATCAGACATCCTCATTGGAGTCCGTGAGGCGCTTCCCTTCAGTGACACCACCATCATCCCCGTCCATGTCGTCCATCTCATCCTCCACCGCATTCATCTCCTGCTCCACCAGCCGCGAATACATGGCATGCAGCTTGCGGCTCTTGAGCCACGTCATCAGCGCCATCACGCCAAACACCACGATCATCACGCCTGACACAGCGAACACCACAATGTACTGCCAGCTCAGCTTATCCGACGGCACATACTTGATCTTGTACGTGCACTCGCCAGCGACCTCATCAGCCGGCAGTTGAACGGAGCCTGGGAGCGACTCGTTGCAGAGCATGGGCTGGTGCCACAGGTAGGTGACGTTGTGCTTGCCGTCGTCATCGGCACACTCGCCCTCCAAGCGGTCGTAGTCGTCCGCCGTGCACGGCTCACACATCACATCGTCCGGCAGGGGCGTCATAGGGTTCGGCTGACACACCTGGAGAGGCATGTGGACGCAGAGAGAGAGAGAGAGAGAGAGAGAGAGAGAGAGAGAGAGAGAGAGAGAGAGAGAGAGAGAGAGAGAGAGAGAGAGAGAGAGAGAGAATGTCTGTACCCCTGCTGAATTAATGGGCTTTTGGGATTGAGGTTATCATGGATAGAACTGCATGTCTGTACCCCTGCTGAATTAATACAACGGACCATTTGAGAGAGAGAGAGAGAGAGAGAGAGAGAGAGAGAGAGAGAGAGAGAGAGAGAGAGAGAGAGAGAGAGAGAGAGAGAGAGGAGAGGGAGCGGGAGCGTGGCTGCAGGCACTACCCTTGACCCCGGACCTCTGCTTCTCACCGGGACAGTTCCGAGCGGCCCTGGCCTTCCGCATGGGCATCCGACAGAATGTACCAACCGTGTGCGAGTGCGGAGAACTCGTAGCCGACAGCAGCCTACCCAACCACTTACTCCGCTGCAGCACAGGCCCCGACAGGACGCGCACACACAACCAGCTGGCCTTCGCCATGGCTAAAATGGCGAGGGAGGCGCAGCTGGTGGTATACCTGGAGAATGCGATGTACTCACCTCCGGATGACCCGAAGAAGGCAGATGTGATTGTACAAGACCCGGACAGCGGAGAGACCTGGATCACAGACACCACTATCACTGACCCTGTGCTGCAGAACCGAGACCCTACGGCCCACAAACCCCCAGGTTGGGCTGCAAGGGATGTTAGATTATACTACTCTTCTGTATCCTGCATTGATCCTATAAACCCTAGGATAGAGATAGGCACCCAAACAATGTTTGGGTGCACAACTAGGGTTAACCCTAGGTGCGGGTTGGAACCCAACCTTGGCCCAATTATTGGACCCCAAGGTTGGGTTGGAGGATTATTGGCCCCCCCAATAATGTTGGCCCACTTTGACCAACATTATTGGGACCCCCCAATAATTCTCCAACCCAACTTATTGGTGGGGGCCAATAATGTTGGCTAGGTACCAACCACCCCCCTTTCCTTAGCTCCAACTATGTAAGCCCTCATCATTCCTAATCAACTCATCGGTTCAATTCTCACAAGGGAGGCACAGAAGCGGAAGGAGAGGGACTACTACCGACACACTGAACACGTGGTGTTCTGCGCCCTGGCCGTCGAGACCTATGGGGCAAACGCGCCCCCCACGACGGCGTTCTTGAAACTGCTGGCCACAGCAGCAGCTAGGAACCGCTTCAGGGCCAGCCCCTTGGCGAAATCCACCAAGAAGATGGCCTGCCACTTCAGCCAGCGCTGGTCAGTGGCCCTCCAGCGCTCCCAGGCGAACGCCCTGCACACCAAGGCCAGGGCTGGGATTGAGGCAGCACACCCCCAGATGGCAGCGGACCCCTGGCCGCTGCACCTGGGGGACATCCTCCACACGCTGGAGGGCTAGAGGGTCACTCAGGGGGGAGGGGAGGGGAAGAGGGGTGAGTTGATGGGCTTATGGGATTGAGGTTATCATGGATAGAACTGCATGTCTGTACCCCTGCTGAATTAATACAACGGACCATTTGAGAGAGAGAGAGAGAGAGAGAGAGAGAGAGAGAGAGAGAGAGAGAGAGAGAGAGAGAGAGAGAGAGGGGGGGCAGATGGGTGGCGGATGAGAGGGTTGCGCATGGGTACAGGGACAGCAAAGGGAGCCATAATTGTACTAGAGTGCCTGTACTCACCCGAGGGTGCTTGTACTTGTACGTGACGCGCTTGTTCTCGTTGCACCCAGCGGCCTCCACCTTGACAATGTCTTGCTCGGAGCACAGCGGGCAGGCGAAGAGCGAGTACCACACAAGGTTGAACTCGCATGCCGTGGTCTCCACGGGCTCCACCGTGCCCCCGCGCTGCGCCCAGTCTGGGTACGCCCGCTGCGGGTCAAACGCCGCCATGCGCCCCCCACTCGTCCACTGCTCCGGCTGCCCGTGCCCTGCCATGCCACGCACGGGGGGGAGCAGGCGGACACAAGAAAGAGGTGGGAGAGCTTGGGGATGTAGGCGTGCAAGGCTGATAACGCAGGGGCAGTGGGGAAAAGCGGGGAGGGGTTGGTGATGGGAGGGACGACATGCAGGGGTTGGAATCCACGCAGCAGAAAGTAGGAGGGCGCGGGGCGTGGGTTACGAGGCGTGGGGTGCGGGGCATGGAGTGTTACCAGCGGCGGGGTCACAAATGAAGGTGATGTTGGTCTGGCGGGGCAGCTGGGTCTCAGGGCAGTCGTCCCCCTTGAGCATCATCACGAACCCACGTGTGCGCAGCTCACTGGCCACCACATCCAGCGACTCTATCGCCAGCGACGCCCCCAGGTTGTGCCCCGGCCGCAGCGCACCCTCCACGTCCTCTGCAGGGTCCACCTTGCACGCATACGTGTTGAGTGCGTTCCCTCCGTAGTCATAGCACGTGTCGTTGGTTCGATCGCGGTCGCACATGCTGATGAAGTATGACGCCTGCTGCGTGCCGTTCTTGGTCGTTGCATCGTTAGATGCCACCCCAAACATCACCCCCGGGTGCATCCGTGCCAGAGGCGACAGGTCGAAGAACAGCCGCCCGCCGCCCGCAGTGGCGCCCGTCAGCCCGCCGCCTGCCACCACCATGCCGCCGCCCTCCGCCAGCGTCTCGTTCCAAAACTGCTCCTCCTGCTGCATCTCGCCCGTGGGGCCGGTGGGGGCGGGCGCGGCGGGGGAGGCGAAGGGGTTGAAGGAGGAGGCGGGGGGAGGCGGAGCGTCGGCGGAGGCGTTGTAGGCGACGGGGACGCGCACAGCGAAGGTGCAGAAGGAGGAGGGCACGCGTGCATCGCCCAGGAAGCACTCACTGCTGCCCGGCAGTGACGTGGTGCCCGCGCCACACCGCTCACACGCCCATTGCGCTCCCTGCCAGGCCAGCATGCCATGCCATGCCATGCCATGCCATGCCGTGCCATGCCATGCAGTGCAGCAGCAAAGCAATCAGGAGGGATGATCGTGGTGGAGGTGAGTTGAGTGGGCATCTGGCAGATACCATTGGGGACGGCATGCCTGCGTAGCAATAAAATAAACATGGCATTATGCACACACCTCCCTGAACCCATCCCCGTGTGCTCATCCCCAACCACACAATCCCAAACACACAATCCCAAACACACAATCCCAAACACACAATCCCAAACACACAATCCCAAACACACAATCCCAAACACACAATCCCAAACACACAATCCCAAACACACCATCCCAAACACACCATCCCAAACACACCATCCCAAACACACCATCCCAAACACACAATCCCAAACACACAATCCCAAACACACAATCCCAAACACACAATCCCAAACACACAATCCCAATCACACAATCCCAATCACACAGTCCCAAACACACAATCCCAAACACACAATCCCAAACACACAATCCCAAACACACAATCCCAAACACACAATCCCAAACACACAATCCCAAACACACAATCCCAAACACACAATCCCAAACACACAATCCCAAACACACAATCCCAAACACACAATCCCAAACACACAATCCCAAACACACAATCCCAAACACACAATCCCAAACACACAATCCCAAACACACAATCCCAAACACACAATCCCAAACACACAATCCCAAACACACAATCCCAAACACACAATCCCAAACACACCATCCCAAACACACCATCCCAAACACACCATCCCAAACACACAATCCCAAACACACAATCCCAATCACACAATCCCAAACACACAATCCCAAACACACAATCCCAAACACACAATCCCAAACACACAATCCCAAACACACAATCCCAAACACACAATCCCAAACACACAATCCCAAACACACAATCCCAAACACACAATCCCAAACACACAATCCCAAACACACAATCCCAAACA